ACGTGAAGTGAAGTGACAGCTGAGCTCAGCCTCTTTCCTCAGTCTCTCTAACCAGCCACAGCACTTCTGCAACCACACCTTCCTTCGTACTAGACATGATGCTGCTCAGGAAAAGGATCAGCTCAGCCACAGGACTCCCCTACAACATCTTCATCCCAAAACACATCTTTCCTTTCTTCCAGATTCCACCACACAGAACCTTTGAGCTCTAAGAAAAACAAGTGACAAGCTCTCAGACTTAGGGACCAGCCCACATCACTTACATTTATAATGAAGTATTCATAAAGGAAGGGGCTAGAAAATGAGATTTTAAAGACTGTTAACACTGCATTATTACGTTTTAAATATTTCCTCTGTTTTAAAGTTTTCATTTCTTGCCTCTCCCAAAAGAACCTGCACTGCAAATCGTGCCAAACCACAAAAGCTGGCTCTGACTTGCATCAAATCGAAAGCCTGCAGAAAAACCCAGGCTGTTAGCAGCAACAAATAGTAGCAGTTGAGAATTATTAGAGTGCTGTATATTTACCATCCTACTCCAGCTTTAGTTCTTGGAGGCATGCAGCAACTGCTGAGGATCCATAAGGAGCACAGCTATTTTCTGGGCTGTGTGTGTCAGTTTTAGCACCAGAACTACTCTCATTTTGATTAAACCCACTATAGGAGCTGAGGGCTGACCACAGTTCCCTATGGATCACATCAGAAACTGCATTGAGATGAGGGTGACGAAGACTTTGCACAACCAGGAGATGACTTGCCCTGGCTGCTTCCTGCTGGGGACCAGCTCTTGGCACCAATATCTTTTCAGGTGCTGGCCCTCCAACTCTGAAAGCCAAATCATGACGTCTGTTAATGCAATGCAGGCGTGGAGTAACTCCAGAGATCTGAATCTGCAACCCACAATTCCAATGATTGCTTTCAACCAGAAGACTACAAAATCTACACAACATTTAGCAAGAGATCTGTATTGCAGCTCAAGTACGGGGTCTGTTTAGTCTGAGAACTGTTTGTTTTCTTCCCACTAGCTTGCTAAGAAATCCTGTTGGCATGTTCTGACAAGGATAACTTAATAGTTGCCAACAGAAACATGGCAGAATACTGTGTATGCGTTTCCTGTATGTACGAATGCCAGTTCAAAGCAAACAGGAAAACAAGGCTTTCACTGGAAAGCAATTTATAAAAATCTGCCTGAACATTACAATCACTTAAAAATCAGCAGCATTTCTAAATGCTTAAACTATAATGATTAAAACAAGAAGGGTGAACGTACTTTGTGCTGTAGATTGCACCAAGAAATTCTACTGCTATAAGCAATTTGTTAAGATTTGGAATTAGTCAGCAGCTGTCTGACCTGAGCAGGTTTAGAGCCTTTGGTCACAAAGCAGGTCATGCTGCTGTTACTCTTCCCTCCAGCTGAGGTTAGAATCTGACCTGTGATAAACAAAAATAAATTCTGTAGCCTCGAGAAGCTAACAGGGATGCTCTGCTGCGTTACAGTGGATTGAGAGCAGTAGAGAGAAGGGGCCACCCAGCCCCGTCAGAGATTGCTGGAGCTCTCAGAGCCCTCCTTTCGGACCTGAACCAGGCACATATGTGTAAGCAGGGTCCTGTGACTCCAGTCAGGGCTGAAAACTTTTGGGAATTACTCTGTTATTTCCCAGGCACAGGTCCAGCCAGCACCTGCAGAAATCCCCAGTGCTGGGACGCAGCACAGCTCTGCGGGAACCTGAGCAAGAAACAGGAGCCAGTAACCTCTAGTCATTAAAACAGATCATGATGTTGGAAGCAGGGCTTTCCCCAGCCTCTCAAAATACCTGGTCTGGAGCAATCTAACCACTTACCATCCCCAGGGCAGTTCCACCTCACCCACACCATTTGCTGCTCCCCTCAGAAGAGCAGCAGCCCCAGGAGCGAGTCTCACCATACCCCTTGCAGCAGGCTGTGCTCCCCCCGTGCTGCTGGGTGGGATGGGGACCTGCTGAGCTGCCAGGACAAACCAAACTCCTTCTCCAGCTCCTTCCACGGGGAAATAAAAGCTACCAAATCAAAGCAAGGATGCATGAAAAGCCCTCAGCTGATTCCCATGTCCTGTTATCTAAGCCGTTCCTCGAGTCAAGCAAACACCCAACTACTGCTTCTCTTTCTCCAATCCTTCTGCCCACAGAGAAGCTGGGACATGTCTGCATGTGCTTCAAGAGCTAATTGATGAGAGAAGTCACACCATTCTTAAAGTCTGCAGGATCAATGAATTTACTTTCTGCTTCTCTGCCCTGCAAATCTCTTGGCTTGTGCAGCTGTTCAACCTCATGTAATAACACATCAACAATCAATGAAACGATACTGAATATTGATTCTGCTCCTATCAGTATCCCACAGGGGCAACCCTCCCTCTCACATAGTGAAGGACAGCTGTCATCTGACGCTTCATGCCTATACCTGTTGACAGAACCCACTCCTGCTCACTGCTCCTTTTTCACGCTCACACCGCGCCACCAGGCATGAGCCACTAAGGGGCAAATGTGGGACTCATTACCCAAGGCAACAAATCTTAATGCTGTTCTCTTTCAGTCTCACACAGTTACTTCTTACTTTGAACACAGATATCCAGATGATGTATATATGTATTAAATAACTTCCTTCATCGCTCATTCTCAGCATTAAGAATATTAGATTCTGTAAAGAATAGCCTTAAAAGCTTCTTTTTCAAATTCAGATAAATAAAAGCCTCTGCCCCATCACTTACAAGCTTTGGAAATACTGAAGCATCTTCTCAACCAAATAAATAAATAAATGTTATGACTCATTCTCCCAAAGCAGCATTTGCTATTTTAACAGATAGATTTGGCCACATTATCTCATCCTGGCTTCTGAAGTGCTACAGTAATAGCAGAGTTAGAATTTGCCAATTGGGTTTCTCAGATCAATCACCCACCATCCAAATGCCAAGAACCTCGGAGAGAGAAGCATGAGCACTTTGCTCCCACTGTGATACACCAAAGTGATGAGCTCCAGCAGCACCTGTGGGCTGGATCCCAAACGTCCCTCCTGAGCCTGCAGTTCAGATGTCCTTTGTGGAGGACACTGCTCTGACAGCACCCGGACATCCACGGCTCTAGGGTACTCTGTCAATGATCCTCTTCTTGAGTGGAAGAAAAGATGCTTTGTGATTTTGGAAAAGGGGCATTAACAAGCGGCACACCAGGTTCTGCTGGGCCTTCATACTCACTGCTCTTCTCACAGATACACTCACCAGAACTGAACTGAACCCACCTTCCTTCACTGCAATGTGCAGACTTCTCAGGAAATTAAAAACCATAAATAGAGCTGAAGAGAAAGAGAACTATATTCTGCACACAGTGCTGCTGGAATGCCAAAGCTACCCCAAGTTTGTTAGGAAAAAAAAGAAAAAACAGACGAGGGACAAACTGGGGAACAGCCTTAAGCTTCGCCAAACACACAAATCCTGAAATTAAAATCTTAGCTCATGGCGTCAGTAACTGATTACATCATAGGTGGCACGTAATTAAACTCACACAGGGGTTTCATTAGTTTGGTTTTATGCTAGATACTGGAAAGTAGTGCATTATTCATTCAAAAGGTGTGTCAATTAGCAAAACCCTAAATGGAGTAACTACTAGATAGGATAGTGGGAAGGACAGTTGTTAGAACTCCCTGTGCAGTGCAAGTGCCATTAGAAATCCTGGACACAAAAAATTAGCAAAAAATCAACCTGGGAAGGTTCTGAAGATCGGGGTTGTACAAAGAATGCTGCTCTGTTTAATTCCTGGAGGAGTATCGATCTACAGCGCTGGGCAAACCAAATCCTGGGAAAGCAACAGTCCCAACTCAGCTCAGCCAGAGAGCCGCATGCCGAGTTCTTCGTTGACCGTCAAACTTGCAGCACAGCAGGGGGACCCCAGGAGCACCACAGTTCCCTCCTGCACCAGCCCTCCTGGGGTGCTTATGAGCTGCAGCCAACTGGGGATTGCAATGAAAAATACAACTTTCATTCAAAACCTTCAATTCAAAGTCATTTCTTCTGACAGCATGCAAAGCGCTTTTTAGATCATTTTATCATCAGTTCACTTTTATATTTGAAGCAGATGAATCTAGTAACTTCTATCCAAGGATCATTCTGGACCAAAGAGGGAAGCCCCCGTGCTGCAAAGCTCCTCTGACCAGTGATGGCTGCAGCTCACTGCTGCACATAAAATATTCTCCGCTTCAGGACAAACTGCACATTTGCAAGAAGTGCTGAACAAGTGTCCCTCTGCACTCAGCCCACTCTTCTCCAGCAGCCCTTCCAGCAGGTGCATAACCGCAGCAATACCTTCCAGCAGTGGCAGGTGTGCAAGAAGAAATGGAAAGGAGGGAGCACTGTGGGGCCGCACATCAGGCTGGCAGCACAGCATCAGGCTGGCAGCAGAGCAGAGCCCTCACCTCTCCGCAGCCCCTCATGCCCGCACAGGGCAGCTCAGCCCTAGAACAGAGCTCTGGGCTGCCCGCACGTCCCTCTCGCTTCCTGCCTTATTTATGTGCGCACGGAGTATCCTGATAAACGAGAGGGAAGGGTGCAGCCATTCCATCCGCATCCCCCGTTATGCTAAGAAAGATAAATTGAGGCTGATTCAGAGGACAGATTTAAAGAACGCACTATGTTATCTAGACAAGTGCAATCTTCCCAGGGAGCCGCTGGAGTGGGCTGTCTTGAGATCATGCCTTTATTTGTTTGCTAAAATAAATGGACAATGCACAGAACTCCATTCATACAGGAGGTACCTTTTCCAGCCCACTATTCCTTCTGATTTCACTCAGCTGAAACTGCCTTATTCTATTATTTATTGATGGGGCCATTTAACTGCACATAGAAAATTAAAAATAATAAAAAGCTAATTAAAAGCTTCAGCACTTTCCTTTTAGTCTTCAGAAATCTACAGAACTGAAAGACATTTATATCCAAAGCTTATAACAATTTCAAGTTCTTGTGTTTTTTTTTTTCTCTCTCTGTAATAATCCATGGATACTTTCAATGGATTTTAATGTGTACAAAACCAAAGAGATTTTATTGAACTGTAAAAGTATTTAATAAAAAATCAGAATCACTCAATCTTCTTTTTAAGACTGAGTAATAGAATTCAATAGCAGGGATAAAAATCCTAATAAATCCTAACGGAAGAGCTCAGAGAGCTGAGACAAATGTTATAATTTCCTTTTGAGTTCAGTAGGACTTTTCCATACGGGAAAGCTTACAATGTAAATGACCAGAGGCATAAAATACAGATGCCACAGCTTCCTATACTCTTCTAAACTACATTAAAAAATCTAAAAACCTTTTGTCACCATCAGGTTACAAATCCCAGCTTTCACAGCCCCTCAACCTGCTGTCCGAGCATCTTGCTAAGGCTTCTGGGATCCCGGTTCCCGAATTTAGTAATGAAGGCAGATTACGTTAATCTGAGACGACGCCATGAAATCCTTCGCGTAGCGGCAGAGAGAGGCTCTGCGTTTGCCTGCTTTGTTTGGGAGGGGAAGCCCACTGGAGCCTTGCCACGATAATAAAGTGCTCCCTGCATGCCAGTTCACATGTGGGGCTAAATCTGAAGTGACGTTTCTCTATGAAAGGAGTGGTATTCACTCGTGTGCTCAGCATTTTGATGTCCTCCAGAACCTGGCAAACATGATTATAGAGATCCAGCAGACATGCCACAGCTCTATTTAGTCCTCATGGTTCAACGCAACGCTATGCAAAAAAAAAAAAAAAAGCAGGCTGCCTTGGGGTGGCATTCTGGAAATAGCATTTCCTGCATATCAGCTCAACACACTTTTTGCACCTCCTCATGCAAGGACAGAACATCTGCACCATGCGGGGCCACACTGCCCATCCCTGCCAGGTCAGCTCAGCATCCTGCCCTTCAAACCAAGCCGAAGCAGAAACTTTGGGACTCAGGGACTGGCTGTGTTTATTTGTGCTGCCCTGCATGGCATTTTAATTAGTAACTGTGCGGATTTAAAGCCTTTGAATGGACACACAGGGGCAGTTGTGCAGCCCGGCTTTTGTATTTCCACTCTCTCAAAAAAATCCTGTTTGAGGACACCAGCAGGGGGTTAATGGAAGCTTTGATAAAGTTCTCCGGAGCCTTTTCTTGTTGCTCAACTGCAGACTGGACTCTGCTGTCTTTCTGGCTGTTTTCCCATTAATTTAGTGAGCTGCAAAAGCACCCAGAAAATTTAGAAGCCCAGCTAAACATTTGGTAGTCACAAGTACTCTCGGGCCAAGTCTCCTTCCACATCGAAATATTTTCTTGCAAATTGCTTAAGGGACACAGCTCAGACTGGATGCAAAGTTAGCTAGCGAGGAGCGGCACAGCGCTGCTGGCGGAAGGAAACGAGCAGTTAAATGCTGTGGAGCAAACCAGAGCTCCAGGACCACACCTTCAGCCCTGACCATTTACCAGCTGTTCATCTGCACCTCCATAACTGAGCGCTGAACTTGAACACATCTGATGCCGTTTGAAAGTAAATTTCTGTAATTATAAATATGGCCAATGCCAACCAGTCCTCAAATTAAACGCCTTTTTCCTAAGGTGGATATGTAGCAACCCTCACTTTGCACAGCAAACATGAGATCCTTTCAACAGTGTGACCAAACCTTTATTTAAATGCTGCAATTACTTCTTGGCGCTACCTGACACACAACTTGTCTGAGCTGCTCACTGAACCCTGAAGCTGGTTATTTACTAAGGATCTTTAGAAAGCATTTTTTTTTTTTCCCTTCAGACCAAGACTTGTATCCCCCACCTTGAATACAAATTCATGGAAATGGGTGGTGCAGACGCTTTGCCAGCAAGCAGGCAATTGTTATTTTAATTATTATTTCTTTGTGGAAAGCTGCAGTTACCTTAAAATAATAATTTAATCTCTCCCAACAATAGTTTTCCCGGTTTTGTTTTGAAGACCGCAGCACGTATACCTACAACTGCACATTTATTACAGGCCATCAGTTAAAGCCTGTGCAAGAACAGAGCTGTTAATACAAAACTCCCACTTGCATCTGTCAGCTTGGAGAAGCTCCTTACGCAGACACATGATCTTACACACATAATTAAAGGTGCACGGAAGAAATCTGACACAGCCAGCAGTTGACATCCCAGGGACACTAAGGAATCTCACGCTAAACACTAAAATTTGGCAATCCAAGAGCATTCCTGACTGTTTGCTTCCATACAATTCCCAAATTTCTTATGCTGGGATCACTTATCTCCATGGATCTCCCATCACATTCCTATTTGAAAGGCCTGTGGTTTCCCAGAAGACATTACTTGGTTTGCTTCAGCAGTCCTTGTGGTAACTCCCTCCGATGCAAATCTCCACAGCGGGAGCCAAATTCCCCGGAGAAGCCAGGCGAGGACGGACGAGGCAGGTGGAACCCCAGAGCAGCTGACAACTTGTCCCAGCCCTTCTGCTTGAAAAACGAGGGGAGGGGTTGCTAATTATGTCTAGCAGATAAGTGCAAAGCCTTAGAAACCACACTGGTTTAGATTCAAAATGAGAAAGTTGCATACAATTAGCCTGGAATTCTGCAAGATGCTGCAACAAATCACTCGGAGTGTCACGCTCACATATCAGCCCTGCTTACCAGTTTTGAATCTCTTTCCCTATTGAATTCATGCCTGACACAGCCCCATTTGAGGAACAAGGAAACTGCTGATCCATCACCCTCAGTACAAACACCTTAAAGTAACATAAAAACATCCCTTCACAACTCCCATTTTCCATTAGATGGACATTTTGCATAAATAAACTCGCAGCAGCCAGAAATATGAAGCACATTCCATGCTCCGGACATCTGGCCCACACCCAGCTGTTTGCCAAGGGATTATTTTTAAATCAGGCTTTTGGGGAACAGGGTTTGGGGGCAGGGTGCTGTGAGCACTCACACGTGCCCAGGTAGCAGCACGAGTTTCCTGCCGGACAGTGCCTGCAGACAGGCCCCTGGAAAGGGCTCTTTGTATCCTTTGGCCACAGGGAACCACTAACTGGAAATGGTGGGAAGCAGGAGCTGGGCAGCACACCCGCCTGGAGCTTCTGCAGGTCCTGGGAAGGGCGATGTCCATCTTCAGAGCATCTGTTAATTTTATTTGCTAGAAGTAGTTTAAGGGTATTCATGCTGTCACATAAAGAAAATTCTGCAACAGAAATCTAATTAACAATGTCTTTTGATGTTTTGCTATAGAGTGATTCTTCATAGATAGTTATAAATATCCAGGAAAGGAGCATATTAAAAAGAAAATACCAAAAGCCTAGGTTTACTGGCTTTGGCATGTTTTGCTTTTGATCTGCATAAGCAACTATTACTTTGTCGATATATGCAGTGCACACTGACCAAGGGCAATGCACAGCCATGAATTTTTACTGACTGCAGATTCAGTTCTGCACGGGCAGAATGTAAGACCCTATATGCATTTTCCGTGCTGTTCAGCACAACACATGAGGAATGCTAATCAACATTTGAAAGGAAACGTGGGCTCTCAAAGGAAACCCACTGAAATACAAAATGGGAATATATTCCCCTATTAACAAGACCAGTAGAACCTGTGAGCCATCAGAAAGCTAGAGGCTCCTGTTTCTTCCACCTTCCTTTCTAACCTACAACATGCGCAGCCTCCAGGGATCCTTCTGATTTTTTTCTTTTTACTAATGGAATTAAGAACACAAACAAACAAAATTAAAGGCCAAATAGTAGTAGCAGCTGACATTTTCCTTCCCGGTGCTGAACATCAGTATTTTGGGTTCACCACGCTTCGGCTGCCCCAGGAGAACCCTCCATCCACGCAGGCACTCCCGGCAGTGCTCCGGGCGGCACTGCAACCCACTTCTGCTCCTGCCCAGGAGTGGGGCTGGGCTTCAAGTGGCACTGAGGGACCCAGGAGTGTCCCAAGGGGGAAGACGGATGGCAGTGTACCGGCCATACCGCATCTGTGAGATGGACTGGGGACAGGCAATAGTCAGCTAGACAAGCACACGTGGGGGTAGGAGACAAAGGAGGCAGAGGGAAGCGAGAACAGAAGGGGAAAAATGGGACAGGGAGCCCAAGACATTCATAAGATCAGTCCTTGATCCTCAGCACAGGAGGTATGAAAATAGCTGGCTTGATGCAGTGGGAGAAAGAGTAAGTTTATTTACTTAGCCTGCTTTTCTCATCCTAATTGGCATATCCTTGTCCACCTAACTGAGATGGTTCACTTAAGAACGCACTGAGCCCAAGGTAACTAACAAGGTAAAAAATCACCAGGCAGTCTGTTCATTCAGAAACATCAAGCATTTAACTCCTGAAAGCAAAGGAACAAGAAGGAAGCTCGTCCCTCACCAAACCCAGACCCAAATCCTGAGCCCTCGGCCATGCACACAGCCGGATCCGGACAGCCAGCACGGCTGCGGGGCACCTGGGCACTCAGCTGTTCAGTAACACACAAAGTGTTCAGTGCCCCTTCGAAAAAACAAAAGCTTCCTGCTTGCTGTGAACAAGGTCTCTCTATTGAGAGATTTACTTTTAATTTTGAACAGCTTCAGGGCATTATTCTTAGTGAAAAGGAAAAGAAAAAAAAAAAAAAAAGGAGCCTTGAGATTTCTGAGCTGTTCACTCAGCTGCCTGGTAGGGCTCCTCACTGCAATCAGCCTCGGAGCAGCACCGTATGGAGGAGCCGGGCTGCATCTCCTCCACGCATCGTTTCAATTTGTTAAGGGTGGACAAAACGCTGACTTCATTTAAGCAAAAAACAGCCAGGAGCAAAAGTCGCTGCTGCTGGGAGAGCCCTCGGTACCGGTACTCCCCAGTACTCACTGGGAAGGTGCTGGCTGCCAGTTCCAACAGCTCGGGGCTCCATCCTTTGCTTTTTTAATTACTTTTTTATCTAATGCAGGAAAAGAGTGGCAGCTCTAATCTCAAAAACCTCAAAAATATTATTATATCTAGTATGTATAATAGCAAGCTGAATTCACCATTAAAAAATTCCTAAAATGTCATCTATCTCCTGGAGATATAAATGTTTACTTGGTTCTAAGCCTGAAATTTAAATTCTCTTTTTTTTTTTTTTTTTTAATGCCATAAACCCCAGAATCTTTTCAAAGGAAGCAGCAAAAATACTTTTTCAAATGCTTTTTGATTCCACTTTGAATGGCAAAAGCTTATTTTCATTTAAACATTTTTCTACAGTACTGGAAACTGAAAAGAGTTTCTAAACAAAGGTGGAAAGTAAACAGCCTCATTTCATTATTTCCAGGAGTAAAATGGCAAAAGCAAACAAAAAAACACCTGTGCCTTTCAACTGCACCTTTGTGTCACTGCAACACGTTTCTTCAGTGTCGTGCTGAATACACCAGTAACTGATTTCTCATTGTTTTCCCTGTGCCTCCCAATGCACTCCTTCCTTAGGGGTTGGCACCAATGCAAGCGAACAGATAATGGGATTTCTGATTTTAACATTAAAAACCATGCTCTAAAATTTCAATATATTTTTTGTAGATTATATGGTTGTGTATCTGGGAGGACAGTTTGAGACTGGTGAAGCATCTCCTACTCTCTTGCATACTCATCATATCTCTACTGAATTTAAGATGTGTCTCTTGCAAACAATGACAGCAATTCCCCAGGATGTGACCCAAAAGCACTGCTCACATCACTATAGAACCAGGCTAACATGGCTTTTTTCTATCAAATGTTGGAAAGCACACAGACAGCAAAATGACAGCGCACTTTACAGATTTTCCATGTTGGTAGCTTTGTTTTGATCAGCAAAACACAGAAGGAGTTTTGTGAAAAGAGGAGTTTGACTCTCATCTTTCTTAGAATAAGAAATTCCTGCAATGTAACTGAGGTTGCTTTACATTAGTATGAGAAAGGTGTGAAATCAAAGCCACGTCTATGGCAGAGCTCTATCATGACATGATTTCTTTATAATGAAATACAGTGAAAGAAAATGAGTGGCACTGGAATTTTACTGCACCCCAGACACACATTTACAGTGATTAAACAGATCGGTACTTGTAAAACCCAAGGGCCCAACTTTACCAATCTTTACTTGGGCAAGTAGTTTCACTGAAATCAGCGGGATCATTTGCATACTCAAGTACTGTTTATCTTAGCTGAGATCTATGGGTTTAGGACACAGATTTCTATTTAGATCTTTTATGCAGAAGAATACACAAAGTTGTGCAAAGAACAGGAGAAAACGAGCACCTCGGAGTTAATTTTCACATATACCAGTGGTTTTCTCCAGTCCTCTGAAGCATTTGATAGACTGGGCCTGTTTTATAATTGGAAATGTTGGCAAAAATACAAATTTCCTGATGTGAAAAACTGCTACTCATGGATAATAAACAAAATCAATTCTTATTTGCATATTCAATCAGATCTCGGTTTGCATATTAAAGCATAAGATGGTGGAATTTTCACACGGTAGATGGATGCCACTCATTTATGCATATATGCATCCACTAATCCTTACACACGCCAGAATCAGTCAGAAATACTCTCTGCTAAGCATTCACAGCACAAAAACTCAGTCCCTGCTGCCATTCTCAACCCTTTCTTCTCATATAGCATATGACAGCATTCTCCCAAAGCTTTCTCCTATGGCTCTGTCTTTTCACCAGACAGTTTTGATTTTTGAGTTATAATTTGAAAGGGATACTGTACCACTGTACTGTCAACTGCACATGTAAAGAACTAAACAAATGGACCAGATTTTCAAAGGAGCTTCAATTGGGACTTGACAATTTTGTGTGCAACTGTGACTGCAAAACTGAACTCACCTCTCACTGTTAATATTGAAGTGCAGTGGGCTACAGCTTGGATTTGCAGGTTTTGATTATGCATACCTAGTTTACATGTGCCTCTACTAGGAAACAGAATTCACAGCACACACAGTCCAGTATTCTCACAATATACATTATTCATATTGTCTCTTACACCATAACTCTGCAGATAAATGATAGCCCCGTAAGCTACGCTCCGAGGTGCTGAATGCCTGCAACGTTTGTGGGACTTGAAGGCAACGGGTGCTGTGAGCAATTAGATAACAGGTTTGACAGTCCTGTAGCCAGTCTCACAGTCTGTACATTTAATTTGCAAATAGAAGAGTGTCACATTCAAATGTATATAATTCTGTTCATTAAATTAAAAACTGTACCGGGATCCTGTGCTTGAAACCCTAGCTATGTGCAAACAAGAAATATTCTCAAGTAATTAAAGGAAAAAATCATGTAAATGATCATCAAAGCTAAGCCCTGTTCTGCTGCAACCTTTGTTAGGTCAAGCACAAGGAACTGAAAAAACTGGGAGCACTTAGGGTATCTGAAATAATCAGGTATAAACAGAAAGAGCATTTCACTCTTCCGGATGAGTGAAATGCAAAAATCAGCCAGCACGAAGATGAAAGCTCATATAGGATTTCTCAAGTAATGCCAGATCTGATCAATTGAAATATTGTTAGCAGCAGGTTAAGGAGGTATTTATTTAATAATGGGGCAGAATCTAATTGACTTTGCAGGGAGAGCAAAGCTAAACATGCAGGCTAGTGAGCACCTACTCGCTCTTTCTGAATCTCACCCAGTCCTTTCTGGGGAAGGCAGAAGTGCAGTGCAGGGCTCCTCAGTTGTGCTGTGCCCTCTGCCAGCACCACGGGCACATCTGTGCTCATGTGCTGGGTCTGCTGAGGAGGGGCTGAGCTGCTAAGCAGCCCTGGCTCTGTCCCCTCCGCATCCTCCACAGCAGCCGTGCTGTCCTGCTTCTGCAGAATGCCTCCCAGTGTCCTTGCAGCACGCTGCAGCGCAATTCTGTAACCAGCTACACCACTCAAACCCTCCTCGGTTCTTCTAGCTCTAAACAGTTTAAACTATCCATATAAATAACCCAGAAAATAAGAGTCTGACCTAGCTTCGCATCTTAGGGTACCTTGGGTTCATTTTCTCATGCAAAATTTAATGGAAACCACAGCTTTCCAAAAACCAGGCAAAAGAGACCAGAATCAAAAGTGCATTTAGGCTCCTACCTGCTTGGTTAGTTGTCACAGTGACTGACACGGCTTGGTCCTGGCTGGGGTTGTGCTTGGACACTCCATTCACTGCCCAGACCTCAAAGGTGTAGTTGGTATGTGCCAGGAGATCAGTGATGGAAACCTTAGTGGTTTTCAGCCCGTTCTGCTGGGGGCTGAAATGCACACCACTGCCACAGGACCGGCAGCGGCTGGGCTCCCCGGCCCCGCAGCGCTTGCACACCACGTTGTAGGAGATGTCCTCCCGTCCTCCCTTGTTCTGCGGGGCGCTCCACTCCAAGTTCACCGACGTCTCGTTGACATTGGAAATCAGGTTCTGGGGTGCAGATGGAGGGCCTAGGAAGAAAAATTCCACCTTTTTAGTTACTGCAAGAATGTCACATAGTATCTTCAGACCTGTGGCCCTGTGTGGGCAATCCCAATGGAAGCCAGTGACAGCAGAGATCATGCAGAATTTTACTTCTCTGTGTTCTTAATGAAGATGGAAAATTAACCAGTAGGACAATTTTTAATCTCTTCATCTGATGAAGAAACAATATTTTCCAGCTCTAAATTAACTTGAAAGCCTCAACTACAACTGAACAAGAATCATATTTTTCATTTGTGTTACTTATACTTGATTTGAAATCTAAGCCATTCATTTGGTATATTTTACACTCATTTTTCATGATCTCCTGTGCAAACCATCTAATGCACAAACCACCGCTTTGAGATTTTCATGGTCCCCCATTAGACACATGCAGACAAGCACTGAAACTGTTGATCATTCAGTATTACACCGTTGTTTTTTTTTTAGGAACAGAACTGCCATATTTTCCACACAAATTGATGTCAGATGACATTCAGCAAAAACTGAAGCCCACAATGCTCTCGCACCACAGGACAGGAACAAAGACCCACATCTTGTAGGTGCGCTGCCTGGTTGGCTCCAGCATGGGGGAGAGGGGGGCAGTCAGGCACCAAGTAAGGTCCCCCACACTCCTCATACAGTGGGTCTGAGCCAGGTGTGGGGCAGAGGCCCACTGCAATGGAAATGGCGGCTCTTACCAGCCCAGCACCACCGGCTGCTTCACAGCCCAGGCACAGGCACAAACCTCATTTATATGCTTCAATCCCCACAGGCTCCGAACCAATAAGTACACTAAAAATGCAGAAGAGCTAATCCTGTGATCCTTGATCTAATTTCAATACAGTTGAGGTGAGACACATTTTTCTATCCTTAAATTTAACAAGAATGATTCCTGGCAACCCCGTGAAACAGATGAAGGATTTTATACAACACAAAAAGCTCCGCAGCCATCAAAACGCAGTCCCTTCTGGGACTGAGCACAATGGCTCTCTGAACTACACACACAGTACTGTGGGACAGGACACAAGGTGAAATACAGTACCCAACAGAAATGGAACAGAGAGAGAATGAAGCAGGCAGAACGTAACCATCCAAACCAGACCGCAGTGAAGATGGCAATCCTTAGTCATTATGCACGGCTGGAGCTGTAAATGCGGGTGTTACTGCCAGTAAAATACAGGAAGTAATTTTGTAGGAAGTCACAAATTAAGTTTTCATTCAAGATACTGGAGAGCTTATGAAAGCTTCTTAAATTTTTCAAAATATTATTGGTGGTTGGAATTCAAAAGTGTTCAACTAGATCTGCTGGCAGAAAGGAAGGAAAGTTCTTACAAGTTTCATTCCAGATTTTCAATTCTTATTATTCATCCAATGTTAAGAAATCGGAAAAAAATAAAAATAAAAATAAGCAGCACCAATAGTCTGATTAACCACATAAATAAATTAATCTCAGTCTCTCATATGTCAAAGGTACAAAAGCATCCAAGAGGCTTAACTGGAAACTGAATAAATAATAGCGAAATCCTGCTGAAATCATGAAGTGACTCAAGTGTAGCAGCAAGGAAGTCAAACCATCAAAAGGTAATGGTGGTGAAGACGAATTGTGGCTGCCTGGGTTCATCAGCAGCTACAAAGAAGGCTGAGCTCTGAGCACAATGCAGAGGGGGAGGCTTTTAGGGCTGCATCATGTCCTTGGGCCTGTGCTTGAAGCTGCCAGGACCTAACACATGTTAACTGGACGCAGTATTTGGATTTGGGGAGAGGCATGTAGGTAAGGAAAAAGTGTTAAATTACACAGAGGTCAAATGTACCTACTACTTATCATCAGTGCCTAGATGAAAGCTTCTGCTGCAAGAGCAGCTGAGCAAGGATCGCTTCTCTGTGCTCAACTTCACAAATACAAAATTAATATATTCATTTTGAGAGGAGAGAAATCCTCCCTTCCTGCCAAACCTTTGAAGTACAGTCTCTGGGCTAGCCAGGGCTGTAAGGCAGATTTACTGCCATGAGCAGACATACCACAGCCCAACCCCTGCAACAGGGACAGCCCCTGCTGCTGCACCACTGGGCTGCAAGCCTCAATTTTGGTCTCTGCACCAGCAATGCTGAGGACATCCAGGGACAAAACCCCAGTATGCAAAAAGCAGCTACTACATAGCGAGACTCAGATGGGAAAAAGCAAAGAGCTTTTTCGTGCAGAATGTTACCTTGCTGCTATTGCACTGCCACAGCTGGGACTGCTCTAGGGCCAGGCTCTGCACCCTGGGAGTTGCTACACTCCCCGTCCTAAAGACGTGCCTGTTAGCTCAGACACAGCAGCCAATTTGGGGTTAATCTCAGACTTACTCTGGTGTCCATTAAGATATTTTCCAAGGCTCTAGGTCCAGTTTCACGTGGGAAAATGTGCCAGAATGAATCAAGCTCCTCAGAAGCAAAAAGTCAGTAATTAGTATGTGGGACAGGGCATAGCAGTGTCTAAACAGAGACGCAGCGAAGCGGAAAACCAGGGAAGCAGATGCTTGCAGGTCACAGAGATGAGCGCACCACCTCCAGCATGAAAAGGAAGATGCGGGGGAGTTTCCAAATGGTGGGCTGACATGGCAGCGAGGGGAAAAGCAATTTCCTTTCTTTCTGGAGCATAGTTGTTAATGGAGCTGTTGGCACTGGGAGTGGGGAACAGTTTCAGATTGATGGGCCTGGTTTCAGATGTTGAAACACAGGGCGTATCTGCTCCTTCAATAGTGATCAGGATTTGCTTTGTTTCTGACAACAGAGACGCTGCCAGAGGAGAGGAAAAACCCTTTCGTGGCCGTGGGAGGCTGCAGGCACCGGCAAAGCAGCACTGAGAGGGACCTGCATAAGGGACATACAGAGAGGGACCTGGGTATCACAAGGAGAACAGGGTATGAGCACGGTTGACTGAGAGCAGGATCCTTCAGCTGCCCATTCACGAGCACCGCAAGCAGGCACAGGGGAACAGAGAGGACAGAGGTTTTTCACTTTATTCCCCTTTTGGAACTCACAAACCTTGCTTCACAATAAAGCCATCAAAATAAGTTGAGCCACGAAGCAAATGGAAGGCCTGGGGAGGAGCAAGTTCAGTGTGTCTGTGCTTGGGGAACTGAAGAGTCTGTTTAGCAACAAACCTTTGTCAAGCTGATCTTGCTATCTTCCTCAACCCTCCTATTAGATTTACTTAAATGCGTTGTGCAATGCAGATTGTGTTTGGCTTTCTCTTGCTGCAATAAGCTATAGGCTTTGCATCTATTTGTCTGTCTCTTTAATGACAGACAGATTTGGCCAGCTGGCAATACCGTACCCCTGTCAAACGAGTATTCAGGAAGAGTACAGTTTTTAAGGAGTTAACAGCACAAGCACTGATTTGTACTAAAAGGGCTGATGCATTTTAGCACCCTTACTACAATCTCAGGCTGCATTTTCCATCTGCCACTATCTGCTACCCTCTCTCCATTCCTACAAGGCGCTCAGGTCCCACTCCCAGCCAAAGGCCTCCTGCAAGCCCCTGCAAGGCTGATACAAGGCTGTCGAAATCCCTGACAAAGATAGGAATCATCACCCGACCGGCTCCCTGCTTCCTGCCAGATCACAAGACACCTCCCTATGCTACCTTATCCGTGCCATCTCTGTGGATGACAGGCCTCCCCAGGCAGGCTGCAGGAGCTTCCCTGTCGCACAGCAGGGCCCAAGTGGTGCGATGAGCCCGGGGTGGCCCTGCCAGAAGCCCAGCTCCTCTCTGCGGGACTGAGGGAGCACCCATGCGGCACAGGGCGTTTCTTTGGACTGATATTTCCATGAGAATCGTGTTCAGATTTCAGAACAGATGCCCTCAGGGATCAACCTCATCCACAAAAGGAAAGCACCACACGCAGTGAGCCCCACCGAGCCACTAGGCTGAAGCACAGAGCATCCTGCCTGACAGACTGCTCACGCCGCTATGCTGGGACTGCTGCTGCTGCTGTGAGCCCCCAGACAGAAGGCACAGCCTGCCAGGCACACCGCCACTGCCCTGCCTGCTGCAGCCAAGCCCACAGAAACAGCTGCCCTGTGATCTGAGGGCAGAGCTGCAGGTGAGCTGTGCTGGGGAACTCCACTCAAATGGCTATGACAAAGGTTTTAATATCACTGGTTTTACATCTTCCTTTTTTATTACTGATCTGCCCAGCACGGTGCTTCTCTGAAAGCCTCTGTGGGTGTATACAGTAAATTCAATTACAGTTTTCTACATCCAGACCAGACAGACTTGTTTGACATAGAGAATACTGTCTTCACTAAACCAGTTAATTTAGTTCAGCAACAGTGTATGGTTAGAAGGCGTGGATTAAAGGGCTGTGAAAGGAGAAGAGAAATAAATGATTCCAGGCAAAACAGCTCCTGAGAGACTCTGCTGTCCCACAGTATGACCAGACATGCTCCTCAGTGCCCCAGGCTGACTGAAGCCAGAAGCCCACTGCTGAAAAAAGCAGCCCCAAACTCTGGGCAGGCATTCAGAGCAGCTTGCAGAGGCCTTTGCTCACTAAAGCTGCAGATGAATAAAAGTTTGTTGCTCCTATTCTAAGATGCCCCATAAACAAAGCATTGAAGATGAAAGCAGTGGGCTTCAGTCTGGCCAATTTTAATGGACCTGAGTAACCACAATAAGCAGCTATGTCGGGTAGAAATAGAAAAACACCACAAAACAAACCAAAAAGCACCTCAGCACAGGGTTCTGACACTTACTGCCTTGAAAGGAAATTTAGGACTTTAAGAGACCCACTCTGATGACACTGAGAACAAAGTTCTCCCTAGCCAGGCATAACTGTCCCAGCTGTCCCTGGCAGAGCTCTGTGCCAGGAGCCCCTTCCTTCGTGCCACTCCATCCTCAGTCACTGAGGGTGGCAGTGGATCGTTTTGGCAGCAACATTACCCAGTAAGGGCTACACTGATATTATCAGTATTTGGACTGTAACCACATTTATGTACTATTAAC